AGTGACAACAATCTTAAAGAAACTCGAATTGAACCATCCTCCCACCTCTCTTCCTATCTCTCTCCTTAACCAATCTTCCATTGTCTAGACAGCGAGAGTAATTCACAGCGAGAGGCTTCGCGTTACCTTTGGCACCTCTGGCCCTATTTGTGCACCGCCTTCTCCTCCCACCCCCCTCGTTCGCTTTTTTCCCTCTTGTTTTTCTTCCCTCCCACTTGCTGGCGTAGGATTGATTGCCTTCCCCATCCTTCAGCACACACCCCTGTCCGTCGCCTCCTGAGTAGCAAGGGCAGAAAAGGGTGTCATTGCAGCGCAATCGAAGTCCAACGAGAAATTGCCAATTCACCAATAATCACCGAGAAACGATCGCTTGTTCGCGTCCGCGTACACCACCTTACGAGAGTCACCACTCACGACCGAATTTTACGACAGTCAACCCGTGAAACTGCGCGAGCAATGACACAACAAAGACTGTAGTACCATCGCAGCAAAGACGGTAATTCCACGACATTTCGAACCCCGACCATCCCGCACCCCCGAGAAGAGCAACACCCACGTCCCCCCTGAGAATTTGTTTCTTCGACGTTGCCTTCCTGTCCCCGGAGCCGTGTCTCTTAGCACAAACCAAGTCATTCGTTATTGCCTCTAGTTGGGCAGATTCGACACTGCCGGCGCGCCTCAAGATCCTGTCCTTATCGGCCTTCGCGTCCCCTACCGTCATTGTGGGCAGTTTGCACATCCCGGCTCGTTCCTGCCGTACGCCGGGACCGCCAGGCTTCTGAGACAGAAATCTCATTTTAAATAGACAATATCCGTCGTACAGAATAATCAAGTTAGCCGGGAGTGACATAGACAACATGGCGTAAGTCTCTGTGATGGGTAGATGCTTGGATGAGAATTGACGATTTACTCTAATAGCAATCTTGGGTCGGCCTTCCGTTCGTTTTGGCATACTATGACCAGTTATGACCGACGTAGGTTTCATGTTGAACAGAAGCAAGAGAGATGGGGAGAACGAAACACAAGCAAAGTTACTAAAAGTGTATGCAGACTCGAACTATGACTCTCCCCATCGGACAGGCCGCCACGTGCCTCTGAACCGCCAAAGTACACTAACATCGGTTGCTACCGCCTCGGAATCTCGCGCCGATATCACATCTCTATATCAAGATGAGTTAGGTCGGTTATCCAACCAGGCAGATGGAACTGCATACATGGGTGCCGGCATGCCATCTGCATCCCCACTCTCGCCCGGCTCCAACGGTCCTTATTCCCCGGGCTTGAGATCTTTCAACGCTCGGCGGCAAAGCTCAAGAGATGATGGTTTCGAAACCGTGAGCAGTCCTGGCGACATTCAAATGCAATCGTTTGCCGATGGGGCCCCCCCAGCCCCCCCCGTGGGTCACTCATGGAAGCGCATAGATCGATGGGCTGAAGAGAATTATCCCGAACTTTTCGACCAACTTTGCGAGGGTTGTACAAACAACGATTTGATTGAGCTTGAACATCAGCTCGACTGCTCATTGCCCCAGGACCTAAGAGATTCTCTCATGATTCATGATGGTCAGGAGCGTGGTGGTAACCCCACTGGAATCATTTTCTCTTCCATGCTTCTGGACTGTGAAGAAATGGTGCAAGAGTGGGATCAATGGCGGAGAGTAAATCAACAGTATCTCCTCGAGACTTCAGTGACAAACCCCGCGGTTCCCTCCAAGGCATTTGGTGGTGCCAATGAGGCATCTTCTTCTCGATCAGCACCGGGCTCTCCGGGTTCACAGAAAGGTTCTTGGCGGCAAGATCTTCAGGCCCGGCAAGACTCGGTTCCTGCTGGCGCTATCCAGCGAGCGTATGCACATCCGGCTTGGATCCCACTGGTACGAGATTGGGGTGGCAATAACCTGGCCGTGGACCTGGCACCCGGCCGCACTGGTATTTGGGGGCAAATCATCTTGTTTGGGAGAGACTACGATACCAAGTACGTTGTTGCCAGGTCGTGGGGCGCTTTCCTTGCCATCCTCGCAGATGACTTGAACAGTGGCAAATGGTTTGTTGACGAAGATACCAATGAGCTTAAATTGCGCGAGTTTAAGACTACTCGTGTTGAGCCCTCGTATTTCGACATTCTGCGTTGGCGGATGGACCAAAAGCATGGGCGTACTGCGAAAACTGTGGCAAAGCGCAGGTCTGGCGTGCCAGGAAGTGCCGCATCCCCTGGCGGTTCTCCTTACTCCAGCCCCGTTGACGCCAATGGTGACGTCCGTGGAAGAACATTACAGCGACTCAGCAATCCATCGCCATTAGTAAGCCCCGCTCGGGTTGGTTTTGGGAAAGCCAGCACGCTTGGGCGGGTTGCGGAAGAATCGGGACATACAGAGCCGAGACTCGTCACTAATGGCATTAAAGAGGAGAAGCTCGTCGAAGTCGAAACGCCAAAAGCAGAAGACGACGCTAAGTCAGCTGCCAGCCAAGATGGAGCGCCCGATGCCAAAGGCAAAGAATCCACGTCAACGAAGAGGGAAATGGATCTAGTAAACGGCCACACGGACGACATTGAAGGAGGAATGAAAACCATAGAGATCTGACGGGAGTTCCACGATGAAAAGCAATGATAGCCTATGTTCCCACGACCAATACATATCCAGCAAAAGGGCGGCGTTCAGGGCGTCGGGTTTAACAAACGTTCCATGAGCGTCATTTTACGATCGTTTCTGGGACTTTCCTCACCTCTTACGCCACAACACGATGGTACCGTTGGGCCATGCGTGTTCCCTCCATGTTTCGGATTCATGCACATATAGGGGCTTAGACATCCCTTTCGTTGACATGAACCATCCCCAGAAACATGAGTTCGATTTTCATGTGGCTAGCAAGAGCCCAAGGCCATGCTGGCTTTTCTATTCTTGTACCAAAACCGTATTTGTTTAGTCTACTTCACCCGAAACTTTACCACCTGTCAGCCAGAGATTTTTCTTCGCTCCGTGCTCAGGACTGGTGTGTCGTCCCAGCGGACTTGTTTAAGGAAGCGCTACAATGGCGACCTGTACAAAGGAGGGTGGCGTTATTATTCCTCTTTTCTCTCCCCTGCGTTTTGCGATCATCGAGCGGGTTAATAGATCTGGCACGTAGCTCCAAGCTCCAGTGTCGTCATCGGGGCTCACATAAGTAGGCGTCGGAGGTAGCAACATTTATACTGTCAGTTGTTGAGAGATTAACACAGCCGCATGCACGCTAATGAGAGTGCAATGATGGAACACGTAATTGGATTGCACTAGTTGATCAAACAAAATAATGCAATAACCACCCACAAAGTTGTAGACCTGGACCCTAGTGATCACTGCCACGTAGTTTTTACTCTGTCCTATAATACTTGGTTTGAAAGAGCTCGTCTTCAGGCTAGCTACTGCATTGCAAGGGCCGAGGCAGCTGTGGAAATTTGAGTGAACAACTGCGTCACGTGACCCTGTCTTAGGATGACCTACCAGGTACTGACTGGTACAGCTGCCAAGACTAAGCGTCATCAGCCTCCGTCAGACTAAGACCTCAACCTCACGAACTGGAGCTTGATCCAGCGACCAGCTGATCATCGACCTCATCGTCCTACCTATTCGATCCATCCACCCGCCACCGCCCTCCATACTCCCACATCCCCAAGAATTAATATACGTTACTACCGCACTAGCTACCTCTTCTCACCCGTGGGGGTTCCCTCTATCGAGCTTGGCTGTTGATCCCGTCTACCAACCTCCATCCCGAAGCGAATCTCGAGCATCATGGAAGAGGGCCGTCTCTGGAAGTTTGGCAAGCCAGCGTGGCTCAATAGTGCCTGGGCGCGCAACGCCGGTGTCTACGGAGCTGGCGCTCTGGTGCGTTTCCCCCCGACCAAATCAAACCGTTCCGATCCGGCCCAACCTCTGCGCTCCGTCTCGTCTCTCCCCGTCCATCTGAATGCCGGGAAATCAATGGCTAACTCGTAGCGTTGTGCTTGTTCACAATATAGTTCTCCCTCGCCTTCTACGTGCTCATCGACGCGGCGGTGTGGTCGCACTCGCCGCTCAACATGTCGGACGTACATGTGACGTTCATCGACTGGCTGCCCTTCATCTTCAGCTCTCTAGGCATGCTCATTATCAACTCGGTAGAGAAGGCACGCCTATCGGCCGACTCGTTCAGCTATTCAGGCTCGGGAGTTGCGTGGAAGGCCCGCGTCGTGCTGTTCCTCGGCTTCGCCGCCCTCGCCGGCGGCATGGCGGGTGGCGTCGTCGTCTTCGTCCTCAAGTTCGCCGTGCACCATATTGCCTGGCCTATGATGGGCATGGGTGTTGAAAACATCGTCGCCAACGGCCTCGTCGGTCTCTCCTCCGTCGTCCTGTGGGTCAGCCAGAACATGGAGGATGAATATAGTTACAACCTGGCATTGTGAAGAGACCAGAAGTTTGCTCGTAGGAGATTTTTCATGGTTCGAGCTTTTAGGCGGGCGCTTGTGGCTTTCCTGGGGGGGAAAGATACATATTTTATCTTATTTTCTGTGCGGGCAGCTTAGAATTATTCCATTCCGGCAAGGTTAAATAGGTAATGAATGAGATTGCTTTGACATGACTTGTGGTCTCGTGGGAGAGCTGGATGGATAGATTCGTACATTGCCTCGCAATGCCGAGAGGCTAATTTGCCGGAGACTCTAATTATTCAACAGTGCAGGTGTTCCTCGAGACCATGGTTCATTATCTCGCGCATTGAAAATAGGGATGTGATCAAGGTATTCGCGAAACCTTGGAACACGTGTCATCTCGCGCGATCTTGCCTTTACCGGCGCTATGTGTCTAGTAGGTTTATTTATACGCGAATCAACAGCCATTCGCGTCTCTTAAAACTCCCTTTCATATAGTGAGTCACAAAATGTTTATTTTATAGGTTGTGTTTGCTGGCATATCTAACTAAATCTAAAAAGTGGGAAATAAAAATATGAAAGCTAAAAGACGCCTTGCAAAAGAAAAGGTAGAAATTGCTCATTGTGAGGGTCGAACTCACGGCTTCCGCATTTCTTATCATACAAGCTTCGGTAAACAAAGAGAGTATAAGAACGGCACGCTACCACTGCGTCAAATGAGCACGTTACCAATTGTTTGGAAAAGTTGAAACCTTAATTGTCATGAATACTTGAATAAAGTATATGACCATATGCCTGAGGCTGGATTACCAGTTAAATCAATTACAATTTTAATTTTAAATTTTAGCAATACTACGCAATCGGTCCTTTGCTAGGACAATACTGGGCTATCCGGGTGTTTATTGCCTAGAGATAACTAAACGAAAGACGGCGGGGAAATAGAGAGAAAAGCAGGGGCACGCGATCATATTTGTCTTGGGTCGCTAAGTGAGCAAATGGAACCTGTCAGATCATTGTAAGAGTTTCAGGAGAACACAAGGCTCCTCAGGATACAAGAGATTTCCCACTCTCATCCGCAGCGGAAGTATCAAGTCAGGGAGAAGAGAAAAAAAGATCATAGAGATCTATATCATTCCAGGGGAAGTTGGCGGGATACACAGTGAGCGAAGCAGTGCGGTTTGTGTGTGGCAAAAAGAGCAGGGACGTATCTACCTATGTGTAGGTAATGTACACCATGTATTTTGGGTGAGGATAGGTAGATAGGTAGGGCATTTGATTGGTCAACCATGGTTCTCTCGAATAGAGCGGGACCCCACATACTAGGTAGTAGGTAAACTTCCTTTGGATTGGCCTCAGGTGCTGGCCGTGGGTTCGGTATCTTAGGTACCCACTTCCCTTGTGTGGTCGAGCCCGGCTGGTGATCAACTACCTTTGTCGACACCTTAAATCGCTTCCTACTTATGAGACGTCCTCCTCCATGCTTGGGCTTTATCTCGTCTAAGATCATCCGCGGAATAGGTTCATCTTCGAACATGTCCCCGCCCACCTTCAACATCCAGCCGATTGGCCGTTTTAATGGCGAGAGCGAGCCAGTGAAGCGGCCCAAGGTACAGTACCCCTATTGAAGGCCTGTTGCAGCACCCGTGCTCCTATCGGCACAGCATTTGATCTCAATCCAATCCTAGCTAACTAAGTCGAAGGAAATCGCATATTTTTCCTATGATGGGAAACACGAGTTCCGTCTCGACGACTCAGCGTTGCAGTGGTACTATCCCCCTAAATTGGGCGCCGACTTGTCCAAAGGGTTCGACAAGTTCGACAAACATGATGACGCGAGAGATGAACACCTCGATAGCTTGTTAAAGACCATGGTAGCACACGAGAAAGAGGAGGGGAAGAAGATTGACGCCGATATTGTCACGTGGCGTGGCATGATGACCAAGGTGAACAGCCCATTCTTCAAACCTCATTAGCAGGGATGATAATAGCCTAATTGTATCCTATAGGTGATGTCGGCGCCGTTCGAGGACAGGGATGGGTATGTCAAGATGAATGTCGATGATGAAGGCAATAGTCTGACTATTGTTTTCGTACCAGTTTCGAAATGAATGCAACTCTCTATCAAGTGGGTATATCTGCCGGAGACTCTTCAGAGTTCCGCGACTAATCATGCCAAAGGATTGCATGTATGACCGTGCATTCAATCACATGGACCAAGATCGGGTTAACCTGACGGCGGAACAGCTTCATCGAGGAGAACTACGAGTTTAAGCAATTCTCCAAGGACCAACAAAACAAACAGCAACGAGGCCGACGAGGGCGATTTTCACCAGAAGTTATGACTTATTGGGGTACAGCCATTTTGTTGCTCCCCATCATATCCTCAACAGCAAAGCTTACTATTGGAAATGCAGGTTATAAATTCGAGACCCTGTCTTGCCTACCACGACCCTGGGGCGAAGTGAGTCGCGAGTTTATCGAGAACCGCGATGAGCATGTTGTCAACAACAAAGCGCAATACTGCTCTGTAGTTAGGACAGGCATAGGTAAGACGGTATTATGCCTAGGCGGAGAGGTCGATGCCAGTAAGTCGTTCTAAGCCGTAGCTCCTCGCGGTATCACGCAAAAACGCTGACCTGGTCGTGTATCAAGTTTGGGACTCCAAGCCCACCCAGAAGGGAGCGCCGATCAACTGGATAGAGCTGAAGACAAGTGCTGAAATCCACGATGATAGAGGCATGGACAACTTCGAGCGCAAGCTCATGAAATTTTGGATTCAGTCCTTCCTCCTCGGTGTGCCTAAGATCATTGTCGGCTTCCGCTCACAGGGCGGCATCCTTACCAAACTCGAGGAGATCCAGACAGCCTCGATCCCAGGGACGGCCGCAAAACGCGGCGTACGCAGCTGGGATGCCAACATGTGTATCAATTTTGCGAGTGCGTTTCTGGACTGTATGTGCCCTCGCCTAGATTCGTCACATTTGTGGCTACCGACGTTGCATGGCTGATTTGATATGTATATAGGGTTGAGGAACACGATTGATGACGAAGGGGTCTGGAGGATAAGAAGGCGAGCGGGCTCATCGACAATCGAGGTGTTCAAGGTGGAAGAAGCCGGGCACGGTAGCATTCTCACAGAGGAGTTCATCAATTGGCGGATAAAACTAAGTCTAAGCAACAATAGTGCTATATAGCCAGTCGTTGTTGGTTTATCAAGATCAAGCTTATTGTACCTCCCCTTGAAATGACCCCAGAAACGCAATGTCGTCCTCTATAGATACCCTTGTTGACTTGTCTCGCTCTATTTCTTCCTATTTGCGCTGAACCGCTCTGGCGATTGTGCCCGCAGATTGACGTTTAACTTCCGACGTATGGGGTTGAATTCACTTGTGCTCGCTGCTGTGCTGTACATCACCTTACTCGCTTTGGTGTCTATGCTGCTATGGTCAATCTCGAAGGCCATATGATTAAGGAAATTATATACCTATTTCCGAAGCCACATTAGTAACTACTGTGGCACGCAAGGGATGTTGAACTACACTTACGGGTTTACCATGCCATCTCCCACCACGGGGCTCAAACCAGCCAAGATGTCCACCCAGCGACGTTGTGCAGAGAACCGTATACGGGTTCTTCGTGGCCTCGCCGTATGGGAGTCCCATACTGACGGCTATGGGGTCGTCGGTGGCGTTAAGTGCTAGTAGAGGAATTCGCACCGAGAGGAGCGAGTCGACGCTCGATGCGTCCCGGTAGTAAGCATCTTCCGTCGGATATCCCCTGCGTGCATAGACACGTGTTAGTCAAAGTCTGATAGAACCTGCTAGACCATACGAGAAAAGACGACTAAAGGATCGGGCACGGAGGTTTTAATACACACCATGTAGGACACTGATAGGCCCTGTCGAACTCGTAGAGGTATTTGACCTTGGAGAGCTCCGAAAAATTTAGGTCGGAGTACTTCTCGATCTCTGCCTTATTATTATTTACCAGGGTCCTGAGAGAGGCTACACAGGGGGTTAGTATAATAGTAGATAGTGAAGAGCCACAAATTACGGAAGGGAAAAAAGAAAATCGAGTGGGACAACTTGGTATCGGCGGTTAATTTAACAGATTATGTATAATCACTTACTTCCGAGGGTCTTTAGGTATATCTCGTGCCCGATCCACGTGTTTTTCAGGACTTTGTTGCTTATCTCTAGATTCCAGGGGCTGGAAATAACGACGGCTGCTTTGAACTGGCAATCTGTGCCTTCTTCGCCAATGTACTAAACAGGGGTTACATGGTGGCTGAAATCCTCGAGGAAGAGAAGGAGAAGGTACTCACGTTTGTCAAGATGTTAGCCCCTAAGGAGAAGCCAAGACCGAAGAGTGGACGATTAGGATACGCATTTCGCAGCCATTTAACCACCTGTCTCAGGACATGAGCCTTCAAAATGTTGGAGGGGACTAGAATGAGCGAAATCCTTCATAACAGACCTGTCTCGTATCCCAAGTTGCACGGGCGTTGTAAAATAGCCCTGTCGTGATCTTGCTCTTGGCACAGCCTCTCGAGTTCACGACGCAGATTTCCCATTTCCCCTCTTCGACTAGTGACTCGATGGCATGTCTCAAGTAAACCTCATGCGAGCCTCCAGTGAGGCCATGCAGGACGACAAGCATAGGGCGAGAGTCGACCGACCCCATACTGGCAAGCTCCTCTTTGCCGAAGTACGTGGTCCGCGGCGGCAGAGACGCATCGGAGTCGGCGGAAGGCTCCGTCACGAAGTCGACGGCAAAGCTGCCCTTGAACTGGGCGTGATCGGCCTCGAAGATGCGCCGCTTGTAATGCACGGGCGGGCCGTGTGCGATGGCCGCGGTCCATACCGTCTGCAGGTGCCCGTTGAAGAGCAGCGGGTTGAGATGGCACGGCGGCACGGCGTCCCGGCACACCTGTAGCAGACTCGTCGCCTTGCCCTCCTTGTCCTTCAGCACCAATGACTTCGGTGCTGTCGCGAACTCAATCTTGGCCCGCCCGAACCACTCCATCTCGACGGCGGGACGTTGCGGTGAAAGCGAGTCCTCCGTCAAGAATCCCGTGCAACTGCGTGTCTATAAGCGTGTGGAAATAGAAAGCCTTTCTAGCTTCATTAAAGTTACGTCTAACGCCGATATAATAAAAAAATCTAAAAGAAGATGTCAAAATATGTCGAAAATTCGTCTAGGTACCTCTGTCGAGGATGATACTACATACATACTTAGGTATATGTATGTACCTAGGTACTAGGTATCTACCCAGGTCGGCATCTAGAAGACCGGCTTACCGCGATAGGGTCTGCCCCACCTGCACTTTGCACCTCGGCCGCATAGGTGGTGTTGCCATGAGTATACACATAAACTGAGGGTAGCCCACCCCTGTTGACCTGAGGGTACCCGTGCTTTTTTTATGTACCAGTGCCCCTACAGAGTACTTTTCGCACAATCGATTAGAAACGCACGTTTAAATACATAACGCGTTTATAGCTAAGTTAATGCATATAATATATTTTATACAACAAGTGAAAAGAAATACTCTAAGGTAAGTTGTTATTTTTAAAAAGGGAAAAAGGTAAACATATATAATTAAGTAAGTTTATACTAGAATAAATATGCAAGTATAAAAGAGTTATGCAAATTATGCAAATCATAAATATATATTTTAAAAAGTGTTAAATATACATTTAAAGGTGTATTCTAATCGATTGTT